AAAAAAAAAAAACAAAACGAAAATAAGAACCTCCTTAGACCTTTAATGCATCTCATGGACTATTAGCATGGTATAAAATAGCTCTCCTCTATTCTAAAAAGATGCATGTAGTATTAGCCAAAGCTCCTCTGTGTATTCCACAAAATAAATTCGTTTGTGCCTTTATATAAAGTTTGCTCATTCCCCTCCATGCATATGTTGTTCTTTGGAGCAACAATGTCAGAAGAGATTCTCAATATTGCTAAGTGACAGTGACATTCCACACGTACAAGAAGTCCATATGTGGTTAAATTACTTGAAAAATCTCTTAGCCTAAAAAAAATAATTAAAAATGGTATTCCCTACTGTAACCTACTTTACTTTGTTTGCAAAAGGAAAAAATACACCTATTAGCTATTACTCATGAACTGCACACAATTTTTAGGAATTAAAAAAAATAAAAATGTTAATGTGTTATTAGTTCTTCTTTCCCTTTTCATTATAATAGGTTGGAGATAACCATGCGTATTTCTTCTCTGTGAAATCATATGAAAAGTTTGGAGAAGATCATGCAGTTATCTGTTAACTATGCCCTGTAAGGCAGCACTGTTATGAAGGTTCACACAACACACCTGGTATCTGAGCTTATAGAAAGTGGTACCAACAGTAATAAGTCAATAATGAGACAGGTTTCATTTGAAGAACCTGTTCCCAGGATTGAGGTTAGACTTAGAAAGCTCTCCTTGAAGCTTATCATGCTCAGGCTATCTGTAGTTGACCTAACTAGATTAGATTTAGCTCAAATAGTTTTATGAACAAGCCAGTGTTGCAGGCTGCATTCAAATACAGGCAGGCTCAAACTACTCTTCTAAAGGATAGTTTTGCAGGAGTTGCATTTCTTACAGATTAATGTATGTACCACAGTAGGCTACAACACAGACACTAGATCTCTATATTATACTTTGCTTAAGGAGGGATGACAGAACAATGCAAACAGAGTAAATAAGCTGGAGCTACCAATATTTACCAAGAAGGACTACAGTAGCAAAGGGAGACAAAAGAGGCTAGACAGGGCAGGATGCAAGTCACAGGTCTGGAGATTTTTCTTGCCCAGGTGTGTTGGTAAACTTGATTTATATTAAAATTTTAGTCATTACCCAGAACATACCACTGGAAACACATTTTTACACTTCTACTGTTGTCATTATGTTATCATTAAGACAAAGGCAATTATTACAAATCAAAATCTCTTTAAGATAGAAATATGGGATGTCACAAAAAGTGTGTTTTATGCTTCCTTGAAATAGTGTACAATTTAGGAGCTTCTGTGAATGTTAAACATTGCACTCCTGATGATACAGTAACCTTTTTCCATTGTTGATATGTGGACAGACTCTTGATAATCTTAGTCAATAAGAACTGAACTATAGGATCCATTTCCACATTAGTTACCACTTTTAAAAACTTCGGTGGTTTTCCTGATGAAGTTTTATAGGAAGGATGGATAACAAAAGCCTGAGGTAGTTTGTATGAAATGCATCCTTACCATCCTCTCAACATAGGTCAGCACGGTGACACTCAGCTGTACATAACTGAAGCTGCATATCAACAGAAAAAAAAGCATGTTCCAGAGCACAATTATTGAAATTATACTTTGTTTTAAACAAATCCACTCAATTTTGTTCATAAAAATGCCTTCTGTTTTTTATTAGACTGATTTTGTCTCTTTTTTCTTTCATTTTTGTTGTGATTCACTATTCAACAGATTAGAAACAAAATTCCCCTTTGTTCACACACCATCTGAAATGTAAGATTTCTCAAAAGCACAGAGTGTTGACCCAACTGTCAACCCAACTGTTGGGAGTGGCAGTGAGTGGAACAGCATGTCACCCTACGTATCCAAAACACATTATAAACATTCAGCAAAAGCATTCCCACTGCAACAATGCTATTCAGATCAAGAGCTGGGAAATTCAGCTTGAAGGAAAATAGGGAGGTAAAATTGAACCAGCTATTGCTATTACCAACATGGACCGTTCCATTCACTTTAGGAGTTGTACCACTAGGACCTGCAGTGTAACTGTACACATACAATGCCCCCATAAAGAACAGTATCATCATCCCCAGGCTGGTAATGATACGGTTGATTATGGCTACAGTTCTATCAATAAACCACAAAAGAATCGCAAGAGCAGCTACAAGGAGCAGAATGCCCTCGGCTGCATACCACATATACAATTGCAGGTTTGGAAAAAGATTCAGTAGATTCATTGCAGCAAGTGTCTGTTCAGTTTTCAATCCGTCAGGAAACTCAGCAGAATTGCTTGCCATTGCTATCTGAGGGATTCCTCCCATCAGAGATGGAATTCTGGACAATCCCAATTGATGAAAATGTGTAATCTGGGCTTAAAATCTAGCCCCACGTTGGGCGCCAATTAATTGTTGTCATCGTTTGACTCAGGTCCGACAACAATGCTCTCGATCCTCTCCCCCCCCAACCCAGGTAGGGAAGGAGAGAGAGAAAAAGAGAGAGACTTGGCTGGATTGAAAACTAAAATACACAGCTTTAATTAAAACACTAATAAATGATTCAAGAAAATATATACAATTATATACAGATATATTCAGGTATGGGCAAAAGCCTCTCGCCTCCCCCCACCCCAGCAACTCCCACAGCACTTCCCTGAACTGGGAAGAGTCCCGAGGAATCCCGGAGCTGCTGCTGGAAAAGAGTAGAGAGTGATGAGGGTCAGGAGATCTCGAGCCTAAGGGTTGACAGTGATGGATGAACAGAGTCCTCCCCAGACGCCGGCCATGGACAGAAGAGAAGGGAAGAAGAAGAAGGAAGAAAGTTGTCTTCTGTGATCTCTGACCTTCCTCTGAGCTTACGTAGATACATGGAATGGAATATCCTGACCAATTTTGCTGTCTGTCTAACTCAGCCTCCTCCGGGGGGGTCACAGATCTCCCCATAGTGTCTGAGCCGGCAGAGTGAAGCTGCGGCCTTGAAGCCTCAGTAGTTAGAAAAACATTCCAGTGTCTTATCAACCTAGCAGAACACACTGTTGCTAGTTAAAAGAAAGCTTGCTGAAGGAAAAAAAAAGTCAGTGAAAGGAATATTGGCTTCATCCTGGCTCAAACCAGGACAGTATTTAATAAAAAAAATCCTAATACAAAAGCAGTAGTTGTTACCAGTGACTGTACTTCTCCATCAACGCGTTCTAGGTTATATGGAGGATGTTGTCACAGCACTGGCTTCTTTTTTTGAAAGCAGGGGCATTCCTTTTTCCTGCTGGGCCTGTTTCTGTAGCCCGACTTCTAATTTATGAGCTTCTGTATTAAGTGTGTGTGACAGTTCTGCTGCTTGGCCCTGGGAAAACCCTTTCTGCTCATAAACATCAGGCTACGTGGTGCTTTCTTTTAAAATGGAATTGAAAGAGACACAGGGCTGACACACAACTACACACGTGCAATTTTTAACAACGCTGCCTAGGAAGTAGATGAGCACATCAGGCTTGGATTGTGTTTAATGCCTTCATCTTGAAGAATAAAATTAGAGGTACTTTTTGTAAAAGGTGAGTTCACAAGTGTAGTAACAATTCACTATGTACACTGATGTGATTTAAATTTGAAGGTAGTAATCCACAGCTTTTGCATCCTAACTGTCCTTTTCACCTCTTCATTTTTGGAAATATGCAGGCATTCATTCCTAGTATATCTCTTTCCTGTAAAATTTTTCCACAGAGTCAGAATGACAAATTTCTAATTCCTTGGCTCTTTCTATGATAGTTGTATGTGGCAGAAAAGCTTTGTGAATCAGATGCAGAATGTACTGTGTTGGAAACAGCTTGTTATTTGAACACACCAGTCCTAATTTAGCAGGGTGAACAAAACTGCCATTTGTTAGGTAATTTTTGTCACTGTGTGAGAACCTACCTTTTTGAGGAAGGTTCACCCAAAAAAATGGGTGAGCACGATTTTTGCTTTTTGAAATCCATTATATTTTCAAACATATATATATATATATATATGGATGAAGTCTGATAAATTTTTTGGAGAAGATGTGTAATGTAAATGGAACATAATGGGAAAATAACTGTCTGTTTTTTCCTTTTCCTTTTAGAACAATCTAGGTATCCTGTGGTCTGAAAGAGCTGAAATTAAAACTGCTCAAACTTACTTGGAATCTGCAGAAGCCTTATATAATCAATACATGAAAGAGGTACTGTGTTTATTAATACTATGGCAGGCCTTTGATGTGGCACTTACAGTTTTAGTCATCTTTGAAAAAAAACATAGGGTGGAATTCGACTTTCTGAGCTTTATAGTGGCTGCTGTGACACTTGGAAAGGGATGTGATTTATGCTGCTACCACAGGAAGATGCAAACTAGATCACTCGCTAATTTCAAAATGGACTTACTCAGGAAAACGATTTTGCTCAAAAATCATATTCCTTTTTGAACACTCTTTGAATTGATAATCCAAAGTTGAAGCCATGTATTGTTTGGCTTTTAGTTAAGTTTTTCTCAATCTTGTCTTGGAAATGCTGTGAAGTGCCACTCCATTGCTTTCAGTGGGAAAATGAAACAAAACTGTGTATTTGTATGGCTTGTTATGGCTGCACAACATTTGTGTAGAGGCGAGTTAGTTTAGTTCCAGATCCAAGAGGACAGTCTTACAACAGCTAAACCTCTCCTGCATATTAAACAGCCTTTTGAGTTGTGGATTCTGCTGTGTGTCAACAAAGACTCCCTTGTGCTACTTTTAAGCTTTGTGCAAAGCTCCTCCTACACTTACTTGCTTCGGGGACAGTTTGTGAGGGAGGTAAAAACATTTGTGGCCTTAAAGGAGCAGTATCTGTGTCTCAGGACAGCTGCAAAGCTTGGGCAGAACTTTGTGTAATGCAATTGCTGCTCAGGTTTTACATGATCTTGGTTTGTAGCATGGATTATTCTTGTGGAAATTTTAGAATGGATTAGTCTTTATTGGTTCCTTCCTGCTTTATTACCACCTTTCCAGCCATGCTGGCCTACAGTGATAGGAGAGGTAGTGCAGTGGGTAAAAAAATTAAAAAAGCACTTGTGCAGAAAAGCTTTTCTGTTTATTTTCTGCCCTCTGCATCAGCTGGTCTAACTAGAGTTACTGCATCTCTCTGCAGACCCTCTCTCTAATTTCTGATGTTCAACTGAGACATTTTTACCCAGCCAAGCATGATTCTTTTGGCTTCCACATGGCCTCTAAAAGATTCTGGCACTTGCTCCAGGGATTATGGAACTGTCCTGGTACTGCCATCCATTTCAGTGGATTAAATAATGCTACCAAATACTTTACATTTTAACTGTGGGCTTTTGTGAAATTAATAACTTTCGTTAGTTGTCCACATTTGTTGTTGGGTAGTAGCTAATGAATATTGCTCCTGGGGCTTTGCTGCCTGGCTAGGAAATACACAGATGACTGTCAGTAACTTGTCACTTTTTTTTTTCCCCAACATTTTTTTATTTGCCACTTCTATTTCAGGGCATTATAGAGTCAAATGTATCTATGTCTAAAGATTTTCTAAAAAAAAAACAAACAACAAAACAACTATGCCAAAAGACCATTTCCGTGGAAACAATTTGGTTTGTGTAATGTTTCTCTGAAAAAACTGAACTGTATTTGACATAATCTGCAAATAATTTTAAAAAAGCTCCCTCATCCCCTGCTTTTTTTCAGCTGCTTTATGTTTTATAACTGAGGTCCTTGCAGTGGTGTTTGTTCTCTAGGATTTGTACAACTGTGTCAACATTCATCATTCAGAAATTATAAAAATGTGAATATATTTTTGTTAATGTTCCCTGTTTTTAGGGCCTCAGGAAGCCTTTCTGTCTGGGAATCTTTGGTAAACTGTTGATGATTGAGACATTTTCCTGAACTGGTGGATTTAGTTGTTTACTAATGGTGTCTTGTTACCTTACAAATTGAGTGGGGTTGTTTTCCCCCACTCCCCCCAGGCAACTAGAGCACAACCAAGGCAATTGCAAGAAAAAAATATTCTGGTAGAGTTAAAATATTATTTTACTTCCTGCTCCTGAATTCTTTGAGTTCACATCTATTCTAAAATGAGGTAAAAAAAATAATTGGTTATTGTAACAACATCTTGCTATTAGGAAAACTGTTTGTTTAATGCAGTAGGGTGAGAATCTGAGGGTGCTAGGACTCTCTGGGCAGGTGCTTGGGCTAAAGAATTTCACTTGGAAGAGGATAGTTGCAGAGATTTTTCTTGGAATGATTAAAGGCATAAGGGTTGACATCAGAGAAAAATCTTGTAGATACAGGAAGGAGACAAGGGTCTAGTTTACTGTGTCACTTAAATTCTTTTAATTTAAAAGATTTTTTTCCAAGCCTCAGAAGGCTTGGGAGCCTTTGTAAGGTTGTAAGCCTTTGTTTGTCTAAAGAAAACAAGATGGAGGGTTACAAGTTCAGAGCTTAAAAACTAGTGAGGTATAAACAGAAAGCCCTAAAGATTGAAGGATCATAGAAAAATCTGTACCTTTCTGGCAGGTTAAACTCCTTTATTTGTCATTCTCTGTTTTCAGCTCCATTTTTTCATCTTTGAACATAAATTTTAAAAATCCATTAAAAATCAAATAATTTCAGGATTTGTTTTATGAGAAGAAATATGAAGATGAGAGTATGTTTTCTTTCCCTTAAATTTAATGGATTCTCTCCTGTAGCTCCTGTCCCTGCTTGAGTCCCTGTTATCTTATGAAAAGTATTTCTCCAGACTGCTGCTTTACCTTCTCTTGGGCTAAGATATAAATGGCTTTAGGAAAGGGTTAGGAAAATTGCATACTAATGAGCCCTGTTGCCAGCAGACACGGTGAACATCTTTCAGGATGCACTGTGTAATGGTAAAAAGACACATTTAAGAAAGGCATCCTCATTTGAAGTGTGTTAGAATTGGCATCTGAAGTTATTCGCAATTACAAAGGAAATCAGGTAGGCACAGACTAATAAAACTTTGCCATAAGCAATGCTCATTTGTTGGGCTGCCCATTATGCTAACTTTATTAACAGTTATTTAAAGGAGATGTTGAACAGAACAGTGCTGAAAGATTTGTAGTTGTCTGTATAATGATTCTGACAGAACTTATGCTTTAAAAAACAAAGCACTTTTAAATGAAGTAGTTCACATCAATAATAAATTCCATCTCGGTCATGCCTTATGTGAAGGTTTAGCAGCATCACTCTTGTTGTCTCATTCATGTATTTGAGTAAATAGTCTTTCCAACTTGTTAATAAAGGTGATAATTTCACAGGGTAGGTCTTTACAGCACGTCTGCACATAATGTTCTTTGCGGTACTTCCTGCAGGATGTTTTCTTGTAACTGATTAATGCAGCTGGGCGAACAAATATTTCACACTTGAAGGCATGCTTAATATTAAATTGATGCTTCAAAAACCATCATGTTATAGTAAAAAAAAAAATATTCCAAATTACAGCCCTGTAGAATCCAGGCTGAGTGTTTCTGATGCAAACAGCATGCATGACTTTAAGGGATGAAAGCAGAAGTCTTCTACAAGCTGAAAACTTTGTAATTCCCAGGGAATTGTGGCTTTCATCTTCTACATTTTCTGAGTTTTGTAGGATTGCTCCATAGATATGACGTTGAGATAGGTGTAGATGTGTTACATCAAGTTTTGTTGAATTTGGGATTGAAAAGTGGTAAATTGTCTGCAGCCGGAAGAGGGAGCACTGTGTTACAAAGTAAGAGAAACCTAGGATACTGAGTATTTGTCGTGTACTCTTGCAGGATGGAAATCCTCCCCTGGATCCCAGTGAACATTTCATGGCAGAAGAAGAAAAACTCACAGACCAGGAAAGATCCAAAAGGTGGATATGTAACAGCTACCTAGATTATTATCACTTAATTTATGAGGGTGTATTTATGGAAGGGGGGAGGAAAAAAAAAAAAAAAAGAAATCTAAGGAGTGTTGTTTTTTCCAGATTTGAAAAAGCCTATACACATACTTTGTATTATCTGGCCCAAGTCTACCAACACCTGGAGATGACTGAGAAGGCTGCTCAGTATTGCCATACTACTCTTAAACGGCAGCTTGAGTACTGTGGCTACTGCCCAGTAGAATGGGCACGCAACGCTGCTACTTTGTCACAGTATTATCTCTCTAAGGTAGGGCACCAAATGCTTTTCTGCTCTAATTATGTCAAAACTGTCAGGTAAGAGAGCTGTTTAAATAGCTGTTTGAGAAAAGGTACCATGTTGGATTAAAAATATCCTCTGGTAAAAGCACAAGTTGTCTTCTGACATGCAGCATCTGATGTTTTTTTCTGAAGTGGGTACAGTGTTTGTGCTTTCCCTGGTGTTGTGATGGCAGTGGGAAAACGGAGCAGCAGTATAGCCATCAGGAAAGCTCTGTAGTTGATGAAGCTTTAGCAGTGATGTGACACGATCCTTGTAAACAAAACTTGTGTCATCACTTAATTTGAAGTTGTTTCTTATAAATCTCAGTGTTCTCTTACAATAGAGTTTAAAAAGAAACACCTCTTAAGACTAAGGTGTTGTACTTGTATGATTCCTGTAAATCATTGTCCTTTGTGCTTCAGCATGCTTAAGTCCTTTTTGAGCCTATGTGAACATTAAAGCAAACACAGAAGATGGTAGCTGCTTGCTTCCACACATCTGTGTTGACTCTAAGTAATCCACTGTGTTAGGAAATGCTTCTGTTTTATTTAGGAATTTCTATATTCCAGACTATTCAGGTGCTCATTTCTGATGCTTAGAAGACTTCTGCTATACCTAAGACAGCTAATGCTGCTTTCAATAGTAACTTGTCATTTCCATGTCTTTTGGATGCATTGATGGCACTAATCGTTACATAATGAATTGCCAAATAGGAGTAAAGGAATCCAAATCTGACTCATAATGCTGCCCTGTGGGTCCAACTTAGTCCCACTAACACCCCATGATACAATCTTCACCACAACACATCACTTCCTTTACCACAAGGAAGTGATAGTAGCATAGATCAGAACACTGAACATGTTCACAGTGTCTGTATCGAATATTAAAAGCAAGGCTTGTTCTTGTGGCCATGGTAGAGAGAAAATGGTTGGTTAGAAAATACTGTATTCAGTAGCAGATGTGGAAAAGTGGTGTGTTTTCTTCCAGTGTCCAGGGGATTATGCTGCAGAGCCTTACATTTTCCTTGTGTTCATACATCTTTACTGTCTGAGGTGGGGGGTTTAGCCAAGCTGAGCAGTTCTTGAGCTGCTTGTACCAGTGATAAACCTTGTTTCTGTTTCTCTCAGGAATGCTTTATGGAAGCCCGACACTGTTTAGCAGCTGCCAGTGTCATCTTTAGTCAAGCTGGACAGGTGCCACCTACTGAAGACAGTAAGTTCATGTAGAAGTTTTGAACTAAATATTGTGAATTAAGCATAATTGTTAAGCATCATGAAGTGAAATCTAGCAGCATGTACAAAATTTATCCCAGTGTTAATTTTCTAAAAATCTTGGTAATTAACAGTAAAGTGGAATGTTGCTGAAGAGCTGCTACTACAGCTTAAGATGGACTGTGAGTAAACCCTGTGAGGAAAACTCAAGTACTTCTTCCTGGTGTTTCAGAAAGCATAGCAGAATAGAAGTGACATTTAAACAAATAACCATTTCAATAAGGCAGCATCTCTGTTAACCCATTTGTCCCTGTATGTGTGCTTAAAATGCAGCTTAATTTGACTTCACTATCAGAGGCAGTGTTCCCATAAGCTAACCAGATGCTTCCTGGGAGTAGCTTTGAAAAAGGGAGGGAAGCTACAGCTCTTAAAAACCCCAAATCCAGAAGTTACTTTTATTGTCTTTTGTTGCTAGATGCTGCTGCCTCATTCATGGCCATTTTTGGAGTTGTCGCTGTCTTTGTTTTGGGTAGTGATGCAAAGGAACAACTCTGTGGTTCAGCACAAAGATAAATAAAAGAAACTGTTTAGAGAACTGACCACAATTTTAAGGACCTGTAGTTACATTATAGTGTCAGCATTCAAAATAAATCCTGTTTTAGGCTTAGTCTTTGTTTATCTACACCACAGCCTTTTACACTCTGTGTTGAGCAAATGAAAGCTTAAGATTAATAGAGCTTTAACTCAGAGGGAGTGAGCAAGTACTCAGAGTAGCCCCTGTGTGAGTTCATAACTCTTGACTTATAACAGTGAATATATTGGTTAACTTTAAATGGGTTGAGCTGTTTAGAACACAAGCTCTTTAATCCACTGATGTTGTGACTTTGGGTTAAAATGTAACCTGAATAGACACAACCAAGTTCTATTTAATTGAAGTTCAGTGACAGCACATTAATTTAATTGCTTTTAGTATTTCTCTTAGCTCAAAAAATATAGACATCTATGCAGTTGCCTTTTTAACTATTTAAGTACTTTGAGGATGATGTAGCAAGTCTGGGTCTCTTTGCAATACAAATGCCCTAGTCATCCTCAGAAACAATTCCTGGGCAGGCAGCTGAATCTTGGAAAACAAACTGTCCCAAGTTCTTTCTCTTGTTACAAAGAGACATGAAAATCTTTTCCAATAAAACATTTTTAATATTAAAGGTCTTTTCAAACATACATCATGATCTATTTTTATGGAGGAATTTGTGCATGAAAAATCCATGTTAAATCTATATGGTTTTCTACCAGAATGACAGTGCACAGAATTATTATATAAACAAACATGGAGAACATGTTTCTGTCTAAAAGTGAGGGAAAATTAATTAAATATGTAGCGTTCGAGGCTCTTGTTGGAGTGCTTGACTTTTCTTAAAGCTTTTTATGTGTTTTTGTCCATTCAATAGATGAAACGGAGCAAGACCAACAGGATCTTCAGGAGAGAAAAGCTGAAATTGCAAGGTGCTGGATTAAGTATTGCCTGAATCTCTTGCAAAGCGCTCAGAAATTACTTGAGGTAACTGCAAATCTGTTCTGTAGGTGTTACCTTTTAAGAACAAACAAAGCCTGTTTTCATGTTTGTAACAGGAATCAATTAATAGTTGGTAGAAAATGATAAAAAGTTGCCCAGTGAATGATACAAGAGATGCTTAGAAGGTAGCAGGTGTCTCCTAGTATGCTTTAACTTTAAGGCAGCACTTGAATTATGGCCAGGTAGGAGATCAGCTGTGCAATGATCAGTCCTCTGCATGTACAGCAACTTCACAAATTTCTATCCTCTCTGCTGCATTTTCTTGTGGCTTGATCTGGCAGATCTCTTATGTAATTGCTAGTAAGACCATCATCTTAATATGCAACAGTTCTGCATGCTGGTGTTCTCATTCATTCAAGGCTTTGCTTAATTCAAGCATTCATTTCATTGGTTTAATCATTCATTTGAATGTTTAAAACTCAGCATTTGCTGAAATGCTTTGCAGAAGCAGGGGTTTTGGGCTTTATGTTTATTGTTGTGGTTATGTTGTCACACAGGGTAGGGAGATGAATCTTCCTAGTCTTATGTTTTTAGGTAATCAAGACTGTGATTTACATGGTATTTTGTGAATAGAGGGTCTAATATACCAATGTGTCTTCCCTTTTGTCTTGTTGCTACTTAGTTTTTATTTCAAAGGCAACTCATAAATAAAATTATTTGGTGTTAAGTCACTCTTCATTAACCACATGCATTTTAAATTAGTATCCTTTGTCATTTCAGGATAACATAGGAGAGCTGGATCCAGACAGGCAATTGGAACTGAAAGCCCAAAGGAAAAAAGAGGAGGATGAAAAAGAGAAGGGCAGGAAAAAAGCTGTCCTTTTTGGGACGAGTGACATCTGTGACTCTGTCTTAGCCATGGAAGAGAAAGTGAGCAGCATATATCCTTTAGATTTTCAAGAAGCCAGAGAGATCTTCCTAGTTGGTCAGAACTATGTTCAGGAAGCAAAAGAGTTCTTCCAGGTTGATGGTTATGTCACTGACCATATTGAAATTGTTCAGGATCACAGTGCTTTGTTTAAGGTGCTTGCTTTCTTTGAAGAAGACTACGAGAGACGTTGCAAGATGCACAAGCGTAGGATAGACATGCTGGAGCCGATATATGCAGACTTGAATACCCAGTACTATCTGTTGATTAGTAGACAGCTTCAGTTTGAGCTGGCTGACACCTATTATGAGATGATGGATTTAAAGGTAGCTATTGGTAACAGGTTAGAGGAGCTAGACTCCCACACAGTTAAAAAAATTAATTCTCTGGCTCAGTTGGCGATCAAATATTATGAGCTCTTCTTAGAGTCTTTGAGGAACCCAGACAAGGTGTTTCCTGAAGAGCTCGAGGAAGATGTTCTTCGCCCTGCAATGGTGGCCAAATTTCACATTGCACGGCTGTATGGTAAGCTGATTACTTCAGATAGCAAAAAGCAACTGGAAAACATGCAGACATCACTAGAATATTACAGATTTCTGGTAGACTATTGTGATAAGTACCCAGGTGCTGCCCGTGCCATTGAAACTGAACTAGAACTCAGTAAGGAGATGGTGGGTCTTCTTCCAACAAGAATGGAGAGACTAAGAGCAAAACTCAGTCCATTCATATAAATACTTGCCTTGAAGGAAATGTGCACTATTGAAGTGATACCAGAGCTGTCAGACATCTTCTGTACTGACTGATAGAACTAAGGTGTCTACAGTTTAGCAGTCCACCTAGAGCCTGCAGTAATATAACTTTGTGAGAAAGTCAGAGCTCCCTAGTTCAGTAGCTCACCCACACTAATGGTATAGACTTTAAATCTAAAGTGAATGTCCAGCTAATGCTTTGTATTGTTTGTCCTGTATGTAAATATAAACCTTTTCTCCTTTAGGCCTTTTTCCTCCAGCATGTGGTACAGTTTCTAAATGTAGTGCTCTATGAATTGTTTCTTTTAAGGAAATATGTTTCTCTAGGATAATTTTTCTAAGAAACCCAAGGCACGTTCTACCAACTAGAATATATTTTATCTCTTCTGACTTTTGTCCCCAGAAAACTTTATCTGTATGAAGGGAACTTTGTTATTTTCAATATTTATTTTGTACGTTGCTCCTTGTTTCCTTTTTTGCTTGATTAATCAAAACCTAGTTGATAATAGGCTAAATAAATGGACTAGCTTGGCTAAATGTTGTTCGTTTGTTGTTGGTTTTTTTCAGAATCTTGAGAATTTTGTTTCCTTGTGTCTTACTAAGATATGATCCATGTTACAACGTTGGCCAAAATAAATAGTTGTGAAAGTATTTCCACTGAGTGTCTTCAGTAAAAACACGTGAGCAATAAAAGTGCCAGAACCAGGAGTGAGGATGTAGCAGACTTTGTGGCTTGTGGTGGGAGGAGATACCCTGCTCTTAATACACCATAGAGGATTCTCACAGGCTAGAGGGGTTGTGCTCTAGTGCTCCAAACAGTTGCCAAATACTGCTTTAAAGGCCTGGGATGCCATGGAAGGCATCTTATCTTGTGTTGGTCAGACAGCCCAAGTGCTTTCTTAGCAGGAGCTGCAAGTAAGGACCACTCTGAAGTTGCTGCAGATCGCAGAGCTGCTGAGGCACCATGCAACACCTGCATGCCATCAGCAGCTGACTTCTCTATTTTGTCATTAAAGACCTGCTGACCTGGCACTGTTCCTGATCTTACACAACCTGTTACCTTTGTCATGTTCTAATTTAGCCACCTCTTTTTATGGCAGACCAGGCTGCATTTCTGACACAAAATGTACATAGAGGTGGTGGTTATATTTCTAGTGTCCATAGCAGAATTATGAACCAGGACCTGTTTTAGATAAAAAGTGGGCTGAGCATGTTGTCCAAGCATGTATTAAAACATCATGGTCAGAGAGGTCAGGGAGTATGGGGAAATGAAGTGGCATGGTGATGGGGTGGGCAGTAGTGTGTCACTGTGCACCAGCAGCCTTATCCCTGTCAAATGTCTGGGAATATGTTTATAGGAATAGAGGCCATTGAATGCGAACAGAAACAACTGGGTTATTCTGGAAATCAAGGATGGGGGGAAAAAATGACATTAGCTTGGAGGGTGAGAGGGGGAAGCATGAAAGTGTCTACACCTTAAATGTGTGGAAAAAAGTCTCTAGCTTGCATAATTCTCTGCAGAAGATTCTAACCACAAACAAATGGGTCCTGGAAACAAGAGGAAGCAAAACTCAAAACCAGCTACCTGCATACGTATAGAATAAGGGAGAGAGTGTATGCACGTGCGTGTGTGTTTTCTGTTTTACTAATTGTCTAGTCAGCCTTCAGAAGTTTCTTCTTTGGTGTCAGGTCTTGAATTTGGTTTTTCCCATGGCCTGAAGGTAGGACAGCCCATGGTTTCTCAGTGAAAGAGTTCTGAGTAGGCTGTACTGTGTATTATTTTTGTCTATGATCTTAATTAAAGCTAGTGTGCACTTTTATCATGAACTCAACTTGAAAGTTAATTTTTTCTTTTAGCTTCATGTTTCAGTAGAAGAAAGTGATCTTGCCCTTTCCCATATGCTTATTATTCCACCTATGAGGGCCTTTTGAGCAAAGTTTTTAAAGTAAGGGGAATGGTCATCAAACTTAGTGTACTTGTAATTTGGGGAAGGAAAGTATTACTGAAGTAATACTGTGTATTTAGTTTAAAAATAAAAAGAAAAAAGATGGGAAGCTTGTTGGGTCAGGCAGCAAAGCTCCCTTCAAGAATGTTGAGTTTTAACTGTAAAATATGTGAGGTCAGGCATTTATTTCAAAGATTAATCAAAGATTAGGTTCCTGTGAACTCCATTTAACCGGAATTTCTGTTCCTCTTTGTACAGCAAAAACAAATCTTACAGCTGAAACCTCCTTTCTGTTGTTCTACCAGCTTTTTCTCCTTACCCAGCATAAAGCAGTGAGGTTTACACGAAGTCCATGTTTGTGCAGAATTTGTATCAAGTGTGAGATCTGAACTCAGAGGCTATAACCTCAGTGTACTTCTTCAAATAGTGCATCATAAGAGAAGTAATTTGGCTTGATTAAAAATGCAATTTTGTTTTAACTAAAATGCTCTCAATTCTCATGCCCAGCTAGAGACATGGTATGTATTATAAAATGAGTCGATTGGGAAAGTTATGCTGTGCTTAAATATTTCAGAAGATAAAGAAACCAGTGCCTTGTTTGCTCTCTACAAGCCCATCAAGCGAGGCTTTCTTTTTTCCCCCTTGAGGGGCCAGACTGGAGGAGGGTGGCAGGAGGTGACAGCTGTATCCTTTGTTGTTCTCCTCACTTAAGCCAGCTGAAATACTGTGCGGGGAATGGGCAGAAGTGAGCTCTCACTTCCCCTCTGTAGCAGGAAAGCAGGTCCCCTGTGTTGCAAGGGGAGCAGCCAGCGGTGGTTGCTGCCTCGCTGTGGCAAAAGCAAAAGGTCCCTGGGCAGGTTTGCTCTATTCTCCTGCCCAAAAGCTGCTTTATTGGGAGTTTTGGTCCTGCCCCTGCACAGGCTCACATGGTCCCGGTGAGGCTCACGGGTTTCCTTCTCCCTCTGCAACATGGAGATGACTTGATGTACCAGTGCAGGGCTTGTGCTGGGTGTGATTGCTGCTGCACTTCTATGTCCGGAAATATTGCAGGAGTGTGATTAAATTCAGCATCAGACAACGAGAAGCAAGTCTGGTGTTGTTAACGTGTGGCTTTACACAGATGAGATTTGTTTGGTGTTTTGCTGTTGTTTAGCACTGAGAGCACGATAATGAGCTTTACTTGTGTGTTTCTTCTAAAAGACCGAGTCAGAGTTACATAGATGCTTTCTGTGGAACCTTTCATTCTAAAATGTCCAGAAATGGTCCTGCAAAGGAGAACTTAACTAAACTGGCAGCTCACAAGGCAGCCTCTTTGTAGTCTGGAAGTTACAGCACTAAAGGCTGTTGCATTAAAACCAAGTGCGTGAATTTGTGGTAAGAAGCATTTGCCAACTTTCCTCTTCAATTGTGCAATGTCTTTGGCTACTTCAGAGCTTGTCACAAATGACTAATGCAGATTCTAGATTTGGTTTAAAAACTGCTTTGTTTTATTTCCCGGGAACTCTGTCCAAAGTGCCTGCTAGTACTTTTTAATGTTGCAGTTTGGCTGGTGGTTTCTAGATCTTCCTTATCACAGGTAGGTGTACAGTCAGCAGTTTCCTGACCAGGGTTATTTGCCTGGCTGCCTTTATTCCAAAACTATTGTATGCACAATTCTGTCTTTACAGCTGAGGATCTGTACAATGTGCTGGAGAGATTGTGGACAGAGAGGATGCTAAGCACTGCATTTTGTAAACATGTTACTTGCCTTCAGAATGGAAAATGCCAGTGGTATTGAGTGTTTGTTTAGAAAGAAGTGTCTGATAACGATGTGGCCCCTTAACATCAAAGACCTTAATAATGTGGATGTTTTTAGCAATGTTTTAAATGTTTAGTGCTTGAGTTTTTTTAATTTGATGGGCACAAAATACTTAGTCTTTTTACATGCTCATTAGCACTGTACAAGAGAACTTATTAGTTGACGTCAGACACAGATGCAAGGATTTCACTGTTCAAGATTTTTAATGCAATTTTCTGCTGAAACAAAGAGGAATTGGCTGAGTAATTGAGTGAAAGATGACAACAGGCATGTGATAGAGTGAGCTGGTGTTAGTCACTGGGTGCCCTAAGAGGAATATAATAAGCACTTGCATCAGAGACATACTCTGAGATCTGCAGGTGAAATGCATGGGGCCAAAAAAAAAAAGGAATCAAGAAGATGATTTCCTGTATGATAACTGTCTTGTAGGGGAACAAAAGCAGGTGGTTCCCAGGTGGGGTCTCACACCACTCAGGGCATTGGCCATGAAATTCCTCCTGGAGCCCAGAGAAGCTTCACAGCAGCCCACAAGAGGATGCAATCAGATGCGTCCCCTCCTTCCACCAGAAAGCCAGGACTTTTCAAATATCAGAAGTATAGAACCATAGAATTATTTTGGTTGGAAAAGACCTTTAATATCATCAAGTCCAATCATTAACCCAGCACTGCCAAGGCAGTCTAAACCATGTCTCTCAGCACTACATCTAGGTAATGACATCCTAGAAACAATGTCTAGCACAGAGAAGGAGATCAAAGTGGTAATGCTGGAAGTGATTGCCAGCACATGGTCTGCAGGAGGGGACAAGAAAGAACAACATAATCTCCTGCCAGCAAAGATTATTTTGGACAGCAAATATTTACTGCAGGTTTGTGTGTAGACACCTAGCTCTGATGAGTGCCAGACATTGCTAGATCCATCCTGCCTGTCCACATCTGGAACTTCTGGCAAATAACTCTCAAATCCTTCTTTTAACTTCTCCATGTGTTTTAAGAGTTTTCTTATGACACTGAGCTGCTGGTGTTACACAGGGCTCACGGAAAGACAGGCTTTGCTCTCTACACCATAAAGGCACCAGATATTGCAAGTGCAAGGGTCTTGTGAGTCTTACCTTCCTGGTTGGCCTGTCTTGGCTTCCCTGCTGTGCTCTGCTAGAAAGGTTAAATGAGACAAATCCTGCCCCAGGCTTTGTCTTTCCTTGCTGGCTAAACCTTGTATGAATCCTTTTCTGCACTAAAAAGAGATGAAAAAATAGAGCTATTATAGAGCCCAGCTCTTTGAAATAGAAAAAGGCAAAAAATGCTTTTTTTCCTAATTAATGCAAATTGTGTTATCTGAAGGGACATACTCATTTTGAAACAGCCCAGGCTGCCAGGGGCAGAGTGGCTTTGTCAGCACCATGAGCCATTTCCAAACCCAAGAAGGGCTGTTTAGAGAGTGCTGTTTCGTGCCACAGCCACATCCGCCCCAGAAGCCTGGAGCAGATCCTTCAACAAGCGCTCAGTGGGCTGGGCTGTGCCAGTTCTGTCAGGCAGAGGCTCTATGGCAGGCCTACATTTCATGTCTTTCCTCTTTTTTTCTCTTCATGTCACATTTTAGAACAACAGGATATTTCTCCTAAAAGAAACACACTTAAAACCAGCTAAAATAATGCCCATCTCCTTTGATTAACAGGAAGAACAAAAAGCCTGTTCCTAAGTGTAACATGGAAGCAAAGTGAAGATCACAAAACTATGACTGCAGGTAAGAGCCTGGTTAACTGGGGCCTCAACACCAGCTCTGCTCTGATTCATACACGG